TGGGTGACCGACTGCTGGCGGTTTGGAGGGGTCAGATGCAATTTGGGGGTGCGATTGATTGGGGGGGGGGGGCCCTAGGGGGCGGCACGGAGCCTTGTGGATATTCTGAGCAGTTCACTGTCCAGCCACGCCCTGGGTGTTTGCCACGCCCTGGGTGTTTGCCACACCCGGACGGGGCTGAGATTTGAGGGGGGGCATCAGATCTGAGGTGCAGCATTTGTGGGGCTACCCCTCTATCCCCCCCCAAAAAACCATTGATTGGGGGGGGGGGGCCCTAGGGGGCGGCACGGAGCCTTGTGGATATTCTGAGCAGTTCACTGTCCAGCCACGCCCTGGGTGTTTGCCACGCCCTGGGTGTTTGCCACACCCGGACGGGGCTGAGATTTGAGGGGGGGCATCAGATCTGAGGTGCAGCATTTGTGGGGCTACCCCTCTATCCCCCCCCAAAAAACCACCACAGGACACTGTCCCCATGCCTCACCGTATCCACCCCATAGTGATTTTGGCCCGTCACTGGAGTAAATATTTTGAGGGCTCAGAACTGCTGCTGCAGGGGTAGGTTGTGGGGTGGAGCAAAACAACATGGCAACGAAGGGTCCCCTCCTTGCCAGGTCTGCAGGCCAGGCGGAGAGAAGTGCAATCTAGTGGTTAGGGCGGGCGGGTCCTGGCGCCTGTGAAGAGCTCTGCCATGGCAGCAGGGAGGTGTGGGGCCACAGGTTTTTATTTTGCACGCCCAGACCTGATTTCCTGTGGCGGAGCAGGGCCAGTGCCCAGAGGCGCGAATCAGAGTCAGTGAAAGGAAGGGGGCACCGTGGGGTGCCTCAGGCAGGTTGCTTAGTGTGGGAACCCCCTGCCTCATATGGGGAAACTGAGGCACGGGTTGGGGCAGGGACTCACCCCAGGTCACCCAGCAAAGCAATGACAGAGCCCAGGAGTCCTGGCCTCCAGGCTCCTGCTCTCACCACTAGACCCTCCTCTCCCCTTCCAGAGCTGGGGTGGAACCCCCGGACTCCCAGCCCCTTCCTCTAACCCAGTGGTTCCCAAACTTTTCAGCATCACGCCCCCTTCTTGATTTTTAAAAAACCCCCCCCCCCCCCCCCCGCCAAAAAAAACAAAACAGCAAAACTTTTTGAGGGAAAAAAAAAACGGAACTGAACAGGGCAGCAAAACTTGATGCGGGGGGGGGAGGCTGGGTCGCCTTGCACCCTCCCTGGAATTTCTTCACGTCCTCCCAGCGGGGCACGCCCTCCAGTTTGGGAACCCATGCTCTAACCACTAGACCCCAGTGCCTGTTTGGAGGCAGGGAGGGAGCCCAGGCGTCCCGCTGTGCTTAGCCTCCCCAGCAGCTGGGGAAGCCCTGTCTAATTCCAGGCCTGAGCCGAAGGCACCGAAATGAGATGGAAAATAACATACCGGGGTTGGGTTTGACTCTAGGCCTTATAACATAACCCCCCCCCCCCACTGCCCTTCCTTGGGCTCCCTTTGCCCCTCCCTTCTGGCCCCCAGCCCAGCTGTACCCAGGAGAGGAAGGGAGCCACTCTGAGACAGAAAACCCCTGGGTGAGTGTTTACAGCAGGGCCCCGTGCCAGGACTCCTGGGCTCCATTGTCACAGAGGGGCAGGGCTCCCCGCCCAGTTTCCTGGTTTCTCCCCACACAGAACTGGAGTCCAGTGTCTGGCTCCTCTGCCATTGCCAGGGCCCGTGAGTTTCCATCTCCCGCCTGATGAATAAGATTGTAATTTATACACGCCCACATAGCGGATCTGTGCTAGGGACTGAGGAGAATGACATGGCCCCTGTTTGTTGGTTTCTAACTAACTTGATTGGGTTGCCCAGCCTCCCCTCTTCAGGGGAAACTGAGGCAGGGAGTGTGGAAGGAGTGGTCCACAGTGTCAGTCCCGGCTTACTAGATCCCATTCCCCTCCCAACAGGCTGGGTCCCTGCTCTGGGGTGGGGCGAACCCCAGGACTGGGTGTGAGAGCAGGTCTGGCTCTCAGCTCCTCCCTGTAAACCACTTGGGTCCCCCCCCCCCTTTTAATCTGGCTTGCCCCCAGGGCGTGGGAGAAGTGAGTGGAACAGTAATCCTTTCACCACCACACCCATCCCAGCACAGGGGAGAAGGCAGTGGAGGGGGCAGGAGTGGGGAGGCACTGGGTGACGATGGGGAGCTGCGCGGGGTATTGGGAAGTAGCCATCTGACTGCTTGTTTCGGGGAGGAGGGACCCGTGTGTAATTCCCCCC